GATGGAATTCCATTGAAACACGAGATATTAGTTGCTGTGTAGTTCTTCTGGGATGGCGGAAGGAAGTGGAGAGGGGGAATAAGAGTATCCTTAGTGAAAAGTTTATGAGGTTTCTGTCTTTACTAACAGACATGAATCCAGGTGGTAACAGCTTCTAGCCTCTACTTCCTCTTTTAACTGGCTATTGGAGTTTTAGCAAAAGTCTCATGAGCTAGCTCTTGAAGTTCCAGTGTATTCTATCTATATCAGTGATTCCTAGTCAATGTCCTGTTTGTGTTTATAGGGACTGCACACCAGTGCTTAAAAACGAAATTTCATACAATCATAGAATCATAGAATGGTTTGGGCTGGAAAGGACCTTAAGATCATCCAGTTCCAGCCACCTGCCATGGGCAGGGACACCTTTCACTAGACAAGGTTGCTACAAGCCCCATCCAACCTGACCCTGAACACTGCCAGGGATGCGGCAGCCACAGTTTCTCTGGGCAGCCTTTGCAAGGGCCTCACGACACTCACAGGGAACAACTTCTACCTAATGTCTAATCTCGGTCTCCTCTCTGTCGTTCCCCCTAGTTCTGTCCCTACAGGTCCTAGTCAAAAGCTCATCTCCAGATTTCTTGTAGGCCCCTTTAGGTATTGGAAGGCTGAAATTTCCAATTTATATATTAATTTTTATTCCTGAGTAGTTGGGAGGAAGGCATTTGTTTCTAATAACACTAGGACTTTACATAATCTTGGTATTAAATTCTGAGAGTCAGCTTTTCTTTTACAATGTACTTGTTCTGTACCAGCCTAGTATAATCTGTGCACCATTTTTTTAAGTTTCAGCTTTCAAAATGTGAAATAGGGATTTATTTATTTTTCTCATTTTCTATGTTAGAGATACATACTGATTTCATGGAATTACTGCAGCATGTAGCAAATGCTCTATGAGAACAAAAACTAATGCCCCAAGTAGAAAGCACCTAACTCCATGCCATTATATAGGTACTTCTTCAAGATACTGGTTTTAGGACATTTAGGAGAAAGAAAAGAAAACAAATAGAATATAATTGGTTTTAGCGAAAAGAAGTAGAGCACAGTTATCCTTGGGGTTTTTATTTTTGTTTTTAAAAGGCTGTCTGGAAAGTGTTATGATTTACTGTAAGTATTTAACACTGAAATTATCTGTAATATTGACACCTCATAGCTGTTTTCAGTCATCAGCCTATCAGTTTTACTTTTTCTTGTTTTCCGTCACTCATGTCGTCTGTCATACATACCTGAATATTACTCTTTTGTGTATATTTCATGTGGAAGGTTAAGATGTAATGGCTTTTTTTATAAGTCACTTAACACTGTTATACTAGAGATCTTTCCTTTTACTTGTAGCAAATTGAAATTAATTAGTATCCTGGAAACTGGAAGAAAATTAAATGTTAGTTATTAATTTAAAGCAATGCAAGTAACATTTTTAAATGCCTTTTTTTCAGATTCTGGCTATAAATTCTGTCATAAATCACAGGTATTAGAATGCATTTTTCTGTAGTTTTTGTATTTATACTGAAAAATATGAACATCCTTTTAAATAAGGTTTCACACATGAGTAAAAACAGTGAAAAAATTGTTTGAAAAACCTTAACCGAACCCTCAGAATAAATATAAATAAATAAAAAATAAAATTAAAGCTTGATGTAGCTGTAGCCTTCAGTGTAACAATGTTTTCAGAAATACTTTTAAGCATACAAATATACATGAGGAAATCTGGAAAATTCAGCAACAAATCACTTGAGGATATGAAGCGTGTAAAATGGCAGCAGAAATGCTAACAAGATACTCTAGCTTTCACAACATTTATTAGCCTGGGGAATGAAATAATAAATGTTAGTCAAATAGACATTTTGAATAAATTACAAGCAAGAGAACAAGAGAAAAAAAGAACCTTTCAAAAAGTACATCCACAGTGTTTGTAAGTGACTGGTGATGGAGCGCTTAGAATGAAATTATGCTCATACTGTTTCACTCCACTGAACAGCAAGTTATTAAAAGCGGTAAGTAACTTTTGGTGGGATTTAGCAAGATTTTAAGTATCACTGGATCTGCTAAACATGGGTGATTTCTGTGTTGTCCAAGAAGTAATTTGTCACAAGAACTGAAAACTACCTGAGAGGGGGATTATACAAGTCCCTTTAAAACACTATGAGTAAAGAGAAAGAAATTCACATCTGAAATATTTTCTATGTGAGAGAAAGAGCCTACTTTACACATGAGAGGAAAAAAGCAAATTTGTTTAAGTCAGAAGTAAATGTATTAAGTGCTCAAGTGGCTTTATTAACACAGGTGGTGCATTAAAAGTAATACATAGTATTGCAACTTCGAGAATATGAGATTATTAGCTAAAGGGAGAAAAAGGTGTTAATACTGTAAAACTCATATCCAGCAGTAGTACTTTTATTTTGCTCTTTGTAGCTTTACTAGTAAGTTAAGTTCTAGCATAATGCATTCTTTTCTATCTTACGTTAATAGCTTGATGCTTACTATTTCGTAAATTTTACTGATATCCTGTGGGAGATGGCAATGAAAAGGCTTCTCTGTCTGATACAAATTGAGACAAAAAGAAAGAAGCAATTAGCATGGAAAAATTGATAGTTGACTTGACAGCTGTGCCCACCTGCACAAGCTGTGGGCCGTTAGCTACCCGCTAGGCCATGATTCCTCCCTTAGCATTTGTGTGCAGCCTGGCAGCTTGAATTGTGTAATTGTGTGACCTACTGCCAGCTAATAAGCAGCTTGAAAACCACTGTTTCATGAAGCAAAGACTTTGTGTATCTGTGGTCTTTCAGAAGACCTACTGTTAATTTGCATATATCCTGAACATAGTGTCAAAATCTCTAACAACTTTCTGAAATCCCAGTTTGATTTTCAAGCAAGTGGTTTTGTGAATTTTCAGCAATGATGAAAAACGCTTCCTCTGGATGACTCTGAAAGCAAAAGAATGCCACATACAAAGCAGAAAAAAATTGTATGAGCTGAGTGTAATCTTTGTAAGCATCACATTATGTACTATTTGCAGTGTATTTTCCCTAATAATCAGACTTGCGTATGAGGAATAAACCTAAGACAGTTCAGCATATAGCTTTATCTTAATCTGACTCACAACATGTTTAAATGCTAGGTCAGGTTCAGGTAGGAAGATATCCACGGTTTTAATTACTCTGTTGTGGTTTGGTTTTTTTTTTGAGATATGACCTCATTGCTTTTTTCCACTCCTAATGTACATCTGTCACAAAATCTAGGCTATACTAAGACAATAACCATGTATTGACTGAAGTATGATTGGAACTGAAGCCAAAAATTCTTGAAGTTTCTTGGTATTACTTTTTACAGTTTGAATAGAAGGCCTAATGATTTGGTTTTGTTTCTCCTCCTTTCACCAACAAACAATACCACATGGGAACTTCAAACTATGTAATACAGTGCATATTGAACTGGTTTATACATTAGTACATATCTTCAGCTGGAGCCTGTGGCTTCAGTCTTGTTTTTAAGTGTTCCGTCTTTTCTAACTACAAGAATAACTGCATTTAAATCCCTTCAGCATCAAGCTCAAGAACCATAAATGTTCTTAGTGGCAGAAAAGTCGTGTGAGTCACATACGTTAAAATTCTTAAATCAAGTTACAGTATTTACACTCAAACACAGGCTCTGTCTACATACCAAATAGTATAGTGCAGTATCGGTATGGGTCAGTTGATCAAAGTAGATATAGATATACCAGCTTTAACATCCTTAAATATGGCTCAAGACTTTAGACAAAATATAGTTCAGTCCTTTGTCATGAATGTCCCCACCATGCATAGTGTTTGAAGCTGTCATTGCTTCAGACCTTTCTTCTGCATAAGCTGCAGAAAAAAATCTGCCCACAGTGGGCAACATTGGTTGCTTCCAAGAGTAATGTAGTTTGTATGCACCAAAATCATTCTTCAAAGCCAGTGAACGTGCATTACTTGCCCAGGGAATTTACTTGGGAATATGCTATTAGTACTGATACAAAACATTAAACCTGATGTAGTTATTCTAGGATATTTGCATAATACAAGCCATTTGTTAGCATATTAGCAATTTAATCTGAAAACATTGTGAATTTAGTTTAACAATACTTTGCCCATGTTACAGATAATGTTACAGGTTTAATTGTGTTGCTTAACATTTGCTTTCATTCAAAAAATTCTGCGTATTTTATTAGATTAAGATGGAAATACATTATAAACAATGAAATGTAATATACATATAGTACATTAATAATATATTGTTAGCATGTATTATGTTTCCAAATATATGCTGTAGAGAAGCCACAGTAGGTCTTTTATTACATTTTACTATGGGCTGTCTCCTAATATAAAAAAATAACAAACATATTTGAGATGGAGGGAGGGAAAGAAACACTCTTGATTTTCTGAGCTTCTCATTCATTATTAGCCAAATTTCCTTTTCCTGTAATACTAAGTAGCTTTTTGGTTTTGATGGAAACTAATGCTGGGTAAGGTGTGTAGAGAGAAGATGGAGCCAGTTCTCTGATATCTCAATGTCTTTGGTAATTATGGGAACATGTTTCAAGGTACTTCTCCAAATCTACATAAAATCTGATTTGTTGATCTGCAGGTTTATTTTTGTGACCTCAGAGGGTACTTGTGGTGAGTTGACCTTGGATGGTTGCCACAGAACCACCCAGACACTCTCTCAGTCCCTCTCCTTAACAGGACAGAGGACAAAGTCAAGACAAAATAGCTTGTGAATGCCCCTAGTTCTCACCAACTTTGATGTTCATGACATTATTTCTTACACTTTTTTTTCCCTCCATCATTCCTCTTTTCCACAGCAGCAATGTAAGGTTTCTAATCCTTTCTGGAATGTTTTGTGAGAGGCACCACCACCTTGGCTGAGGTGGTCAGCCATTTTAAAGGTCTTCAAAGAGTTTCAAATGTGTAAATATATGGGCATTTATTTTTTGTTCTAATTAGAGACCTGGCTGCAAGGAACTGCTTGGTAGGTGAAAGCAACATTTTGAAAATAAGTGATTTTGGAATGTCCCGGCAAGAGGATGATGGTGTGTACTCATCGTCAGGCCTAAAGCAGATTCCTATCAAGTGGACTGCTCCAGAAGCCCTCAACTATGGTAAGAACAGACCTGGGTCTTCTTAAAAAAAAACAACAACAAAAAAAAAAAAAACCACAAACCAACCAAAAGTAGTATAAGAAGCGCCAGGACTACACCATGGGCAATATTTGAGTGTGTGTGTGTGTGTATGTATATACCTAGTAATATATATAATATATATATTATATATATGATATATATAAATAATGTATATACATTCCTAGTGCTCAGATCAAATCAATAATTTTTACTTTTTTATTTTAAAATATTTCAATCTTATGTAAGTATAAAATACTGGTCTGCCTTCAAAAAGAATCAGGCAACAATTTCAGAATTGCTATTATGCAGCAATCAAATAATACTTTAGGTTATGTTACCGACTCATTCTAGTAAGCTACCTAGTTAGTCATCTAAATCATGATTGTTACCAAAATGTATAGCAAGTTCTGTTTATTTATGGCAGTGATTGTTCCAGCACCTCATTGAAAATGGTAGGAAGTTTTAACATACTAGAACACTCCTTTTGGATGAAACATTGCATTAGAGAAAAGTACAGTCACCGACTTACACTTTTTTTTTTTTTAACTGCAGCTCTTTTAACTGAAGCTGCTGTATTTTGCTTTTTAGCTTATATGAAACTAAAAAACTTAAGTTCTAAATAAAGTGGGCTCTAAAGAAGCAGTGTATTAAATGAACAATGCCATGATTTCTATGTAATTTTCTCAACCAGTTTTTCAGTTAAGTACTTAGAAAAAAAAAGTGTTTCAAATTCTTCATTTGAAGTGTCCATAAATATTTCTGCTGTGTTAAAGCTTTTTTTCTAAAAAATTATGCACTGGAAATTGCAAGTTGTGACTTATGATTGAAAACAAAATGCTGCTTCTCTTTAGTGCTTTGCAGGAGTTAATGTCACAACACAATAAAGCAGATCTTCCATTTGGAAGGCTAATAATAAATTAACAACAGTAATTGTAGAATCATAGAATGGTTGGGGTTGGAAAGGACCTTAAGATCATTTAGTTCCAAACTCCCTGCTATGGCCAGGGACACCTCACACTAAACCATGTCACCCAAGGCTCCGTCCAACCTGGTCTTGAACACCACCAGGGATGGAGCTGTTACCACTTCCTTGGACAACCTGTTCCAGTGCCTCTCTACCCTCACAGTAAAGAACTAATTCCTCATATCTAACCTGAACTTGCCCTGTTTAAGTTTTAACTCGTTACCCCTTGTCATATCACTACAGTCCCTAATGAAGAGTCCCTCCCCAGCATCCTTGTAGGCCCCTTTCAGATACTGGAAGGCTGCTATGAGGTCTCCATGCAGCCTTCTGTTCTTCAGGTTGAACAGCCCCAACTTTCTCAGCCCATCTTCATACAGGAGGTGCTCCAGTCCCCTGGTCATCCTTGTGGTCCTCCTCTGGACTTGTTCCAACAGATCCATGTCCTTTTTATGTTGAGGACACCAGAACTGTACACAGTACTCCAAGTGAGGTCTCACGAGAGCAGAATACAGGGGCTACTGATCATAGCAGATCATGATCGTAGTATTGAGGTAATGATCACGTCTTATCAACTACTCTAAAAGATATTGGTGTTGCTAACATTCACACACTTTTTCTATTCTGGGTGTTTGTTCCAATGCAAAAAGTGTTTTGAATTTTTTGTTATTTCAGAAATGCATACAGTTTATTTGATACATCATGGAAATCCATCTTTCATAGCCATATGCAGTCCAGTGTACTACATTAAACAGGAAACAGGCTTTTGTGACAATGCCTTCACTTTGTACTTTTGAGTCTTTTATTTTCGTAGTACAGGAAAAAATAGTTGATTAACATCTACTTATTTTGTGTTTCCTAAAATGCATAAATACTCAAGCACCTTTAAGTGATTTTCCATGGTATTTGGAAAGTAAGCTCTCTCAAACATTTGATAGTGTGTTCAGCAGTCTAATACCCAACTTTCAAATGTCACGGAATGTTAATAGCAGTCACAGAAAGATTTTAAATGAGAAAAAAAACAAACCTAAAACAACCCCACAGGCTGTGACATCTAGAATTGCCAAATTAGGGCAAATGGAGTAGTTACAGAGTTGTGTCTGAAGTCATAATCGAAATTCTGATGTTACTAGAGCATCTGTGAGATTGAACCTTTGGTTCAGTAAGTGCTGTTCCATGATGTTATTTTTGCTTGGAGCTATGTGATTTCTATCACTTCCAGCAAGTGAAAAAACTGCTTGAAAAGCTCCTAATAAAATCACATATTTAGGCCATGTATTTTTGCTTTCTATTCTCTCAGAAATAAGATATACATTTAATATGTACATTTTTCCAGTACAACATTTTGAGTTGTTTGCCATGTTAATAAATTATTGCGTGGAAGGGTTTGGTTGTTGTTTTGTTGTTTGTTTGGTTTTTTATTGTGAATGAACTGGCCTGTTTTTTCTGCCTAATAATGTCATACTGAAAGAGATAATTGACTCTACAGAACTTGCACTCTCTTTAAAAAACCCTAATCACCTATCTTTTATCTACTAAATTATTTCAATAAAAAGTGTTAAATTACTGGATGCCAAACTCTGAAGAGAGTTCATACGTAGACAAAAAAACTAATCTTACTACAAAGAGCATAGTGAATGTCTATAATTACCACCTATAAGGCACACAAGCTAATGTAGTGCAGCTGGAAGTGATATTTAGTTTAACAGTAAACGGAACTTTCTGATGTCGTATCGCCAACTTTCACTGTGATTTACATGTATTTTCCTTTCTTCAAGTCAGAAGTGGCTTAGTTTGGTTTATTTAATGGTAAGAGATGAAGAAACAATACATTCACATTCATAAATATTTAAAGAATAAAGATATATATACAAAGTAATAGTATGGAACAAAGAAAAACAGTCATGAAAAATATTGAAAATATTGTTGGATATGGATTTTTAAGATAATTTCACATACCCTGCTGCAAAGGGCTAGAAGTCTTAGCTTTCTGATGTGAATCCATCCTTCTTAATATGACTCCATCAGCTCCTCCAAGATCTCTTTTTCTCCGTAATACCAAGCTTTCATTCCACAGAGAGGTTTGGAATCCAGTTATCTGTCAATTACCTAATTTGCTGTATCTGAAGCATAGTTGAACATAATGGAACCAGCAGGCCAGATTATTGTTTTTTTTTTCTCTGATTAGGTACATCAGTTCTTCAGGGTAAAAATTAAGCAAGTTGAGGCAACTGTAATTTTCAGAGAACAGCTTGAAAACCAGGCCCTCTTTGCAGTTACAAACTGCTGATTGTAGCTCCTCAGAATACTCATTGCAATGCGTCATTAGGGAACTGGGAAACGTAATTTTTTTTAAAGTATCTTTTGAATTGAAAGGGAGGGAGGAGGAACTGACATTTTTCAAAAGGGAAAATAATATTTTTGTACACAAAAAAGGAAAAAAAATCTTCCTAGAAAAATAACTAAGGTCCGTCAAAAGTTAGCTTATGTTATGCATAGATATTGACTTTAAGATAATATGTTTCTAATTTTAAATACAGGATACTGGTATTGCAGAATGTATTACTAGTAGCTTCAGCTTTGTTCTGCTTAAAGCTTGCCAATGTAACCTGTAACTTCACCTTTACAGAAAATTTGGAGCCATAATTATCTGAAACATTTGTGTCTCTGTACATTAAGCTAAGGGTTTTCTCTCCTTTTCTTAGGGAGATACACGTCTGAGAGTGATGTATGGAGCTTTGGAATCCTTCTGTGGGAGACCTTCAGTTTAGGAGTGTGTCCGTACCCTGGAATGACCAACCAGCAAGCACGAGAGCAAGTCGAGAAAGGTAGTTATTTGTAGCAAGTGAAAGAATGCTCCACAGATCCATAAGGATATAGTGCATACAGTATAAAGAGCAAAGAAGTAACATATGAGTTATCCAGCAAATTGGGCAAATATATGATATTTTAAATTGCTTTCTGGAAGGATTAGTGTGATATATGTGCTTCTTGAAAAAAGGAATATACTGACCAGTGACTTAAAGGACAAAAGACCTACAGGATGTTGACTTTTATTGTGTCAGAACTAGAAAGTGAGACAGAGAGGAGGGTTTTACTGCTGTGCAAAGGAGAGGCTTGACCATAATATGTTATTTAAGATTATGCTAATGCAGGTATAAATATTCTAAACTACCGGAAGAAAGAATCTGTATCATTCCATCTTCTCTATTAAAGCGTTTCAGACAAAGATTTAGCAATTATGGTAGAAAATGGTGAGCTAGTTGAGCGTTGAAAGCAATGTTTCTTTTATACAAAATAATCAAAAGGCTTTTATTTAAAATAGCAAATAATTTTGAGCAGAATTTTCAGGTTTTGATTTATTTTTATCATCTTTAGTGGTTTTTCAGTACTTTTGAACTTTATGAAGTACACAGTATTTCATGAATAGGTTCTAAGCCAGGAAAAATGTTAAATGATTAAATAAAACCCCAAGCATCTAGATTGCTGATTTATACAGATTAACCCTGATTGTTATAAACACTGTAGATGACCATCGAGGTTTCTCCTTCAAAGACCAAATCAAAAATCTAGTATTTGCCAGAGGAGATGAATGTTTGCAAAGACAAGTCTTACTACCTAAGTATTGAGATTCTGTTTTAATCCACTGTGCATAACAGTCTCTTAGAACTGATAAAATTCATAAAGATTTGGAAGTATGCTTATGTTTTTTCAGCTATTTATACTGCGGGGAAAATAGTTCTGTTGGCTTATCAGCAATTCTTTTTACCTTTTTTTTGTTTGCTTTTTTAATGCAATTTTCATTTCTCCCATCATCCTGTTATCTTGGTTTTCAGTATATAATAGCTCTTCTTTTAGGACTGTCAGCTAAGATACTCCAGATTCTGTTCCTGATCTTACCTATCTCAGTTACTCAATCAGTAAGAGCCTTAAGTGAATTTAATCACTTGAATGCTCAATTTAAAGCAGGATAATTTCAGTTCTAAATATATAGAATCAGTTCACTTTAAGGACAAAAAACTGGTTGCTGCTGTCACTGTTTTGAAGAACTAGTTTGCAGGGGAAACTTTGGGTGAAAGAAAAGATTTTTAAGTAGTTTGATATTATACTGGCTGTGTCAATAGCCCAGCCATTCTCCTTTGAAGTTAGATGCATTAATCCAGACACTGAGCATATGCATGCAATATAATAAAGTAAGAATGTTTTGTTTTACCTGTTGCATGAGGCTAGTATCATTTATACTCTGCATTAGATGGAGAGAGTCATGGATCTGCGTTTAGCTGTAGAGTCCTGTGTGCCAGCTAACTTTACTGTCCACTGCCTGTCATTTGCTCAGAGAGCCAGCTCCATGTGGTAAGCAGTTCATAGAATGACAGATTAACAGAATGGCTGAGGTCTGCAGGGACCTTTGGTTGTAATCTGATCCAGCTGTCTGCTCAATCAGGGCCACGTAAAGCCAGTTTCCCAGGACTATTCCCAGATGGCTTTTGGATATCTCCATGGATAGAGATGCTGTAACTTCTCTGAGCAACCTGTACCAGTGCTCAGTCACCATCACAGAGAAGTGTTTCATGATGTTCAGGAGGAACTTGTGTTTCAGTTTGTACCCAGTGTCTTTCTTCCTGTAACTGGGCAACACTGTTAAGACCCTGGCTCTGTACTTTTTCCACCTTCCCAGCAGATATTTATATACATTGGTGAGTTCCTTCTGACCCTTCTTCAGGCTGAACAATCCCAGCTCTCTCAGCCTTACCTCATATGAGAGCTGCTCCAGTCCCTTCACCATCTTGGTAACACTTTGTGGGACTCTCTCTGGTAGGTCCATGTCTCTCTGGTACTCAACACTGGATCCAGTACTCCAGATGTGACCTCACCACTGCCAAGCATGGGGGAAGGATCATCTCCCTCGACCAGATGGCAGCACTTCTCTTAATGCAGCTCATAACACCTATGACGTTCACCTTCTTTCCCACAAGGACACATTGCTGGTGCATGTTCAACCCTTGGTGTCCACCAGGACCTCCAGCATGTCCTAGTGCCTGGGGCTGTTCCTACCCCTGAGCTGCAGGACTTTATTCTTCCCCTTGCTGAACTGCGTGAGGTTCCTGTGGGCCACTTTGTTCTCCAGCCTGTCCAAGTACCTCTGGATGGCAGCACGACCCTCTAACGTACCAGCCCCTCCTCCCATTTTGGTGCCCTCTGCCCATCATCCAGATCATTAACAAAGATGTTCAACAGGACTGGACACAGTACCAGTGAACCTTGGGATACACTGCTAGTTACTGACCTCCAACTAGACTTTGTGCCACTGATCACCTCCCCTTGGGACTTGCCATTGAATGAGTTACCTACTTTGTCCCTGGTCTCTGGAGCCTGAGATTCCCGGAGGACAGTCCTGCTAGGGAAGACTGAGGCAAAGACAGCATACAGTACCTAAGAAATTTACTCCCATCTTAATGTTTATTATTTATTTCCTCAGTGAGGAACACAAAGAAAACCTAGAGGGTTAGCTAATTCCTAAGATACAGGAAACAAATCTGTGCAGGTTGCTGCCTTTAGGGATGAGAAGCGTACTGACAATCTGCCATGCCCAAATTAAATGTCACTGGTACCTGAGCTTTGATTAGTTTATTACTTACTTATCTCTAAGGCTTTCCTCATGTTTCCCTGAAGATCTTTTTTAATGCAATGATCTTGAACTTTACGTTTTTCTTTTTATATTTGTCAGTATGCATCAGTTGTCAATGCTAAACATTTTACCCCCATTTTTTTGTGTACCAGGTTACCGAATGTCAGCACCACAAAAATGTCCAGAAGAAATACATAAAATAATGCAGAAGTGCTGGGACTACAAGCCAGAAAACCGGCCAAAATTCAGTGAGATTCAGAAAGAGCTGTCTTCAATCAAAAAGAAAGTGACATAGTGATGAGCAAGTGCCAAACTCAATGTGTGGGACTTTATTTGTCCAGTGAAGTAATTTTTTTCCCCTCAAACACTATGCATTTATACAACATTATTTGCAATATTTTTCTATGATTACTTTGAAATTAACTGATTTTCTATATATATGAGTACCATCTTGAATGATGTCTACATCTGCATTAAAGGCATATACTGCAAAATATATATCCAGTCACAGTAATCATGTCACTGAGGATACACATAATTAGAAAAGCACATAGTATAGATTTAAGGGACTGTGGCTTCTATCTGTTTTACAGCAAGTAACTGTTAGTGACATTTTTCAGAGGTTTTCTACTCTAAGCTGTGTTCTCACTCTGCTATCGCTGTCCTGTATGTCAATACCAGCAGCACTCTAATGTGGTGACTGTCATATATGTTGGCCTTAAAACTGAAGACAGTTTTGACAAGTATTTTAATTACAAACTTTGAGATATTTTAATTTCTTTCCGCAACTGATATTTTAAAGTGATACTTTGTTTTAAGGGTGAAGGTCAGTTAGATTCTGGATGCAAATAATGCTTACTGAACAGTGAAATCCAGAAATTTCTTCTGTAGAAAACTGAGTTACATGTGCATTTCTTACTCTACTGTAGTAACTACTTCTGACTTTTGATGTGATTTACTTAAGCGGTGCCTTTTGTTCGAACAAAGACATCAGAACTCAGTAATATATCCTTTCCAATGACCTACATTTGTTTAGGAAGCAAAAAAGCCAGTATCAAGTCTTGACTATACATGTTAAGAAATCCTGCAAATTATCTGCTTTCCAAAGAATATGTAAAAGCAGTAGGCCAGCAGAAAGAGATTTACTAATGATAGCAGCAAATAACAAATACTGATCTTAGAGTAGTTAAAGAATGTAAATTGCTAGATTTGTGTATCATATTAATTTTTTTCCTTTAATTGGTAATAATTCTCAGAATGCAGCTGAAGCCTACAAAAGGTTATGATAAGCAAAAGTTCATTCCATGCGTAGTGTCCAAAGGAAAATGCTACTTCTGTATGGCATAAGAAAATTGTTCAAGCAAACCAAATAAAGAAGTATGCCTCTGGCAGGCTTAGCAAGGCACAGTAGAAATGCTGACCTTCTAATATCTTTAAAACATTGCAGTGGGTTTCAAAAGATTGGGGATAGGCAAGTTTCAAATTCCTCCAGGAATAAAAACCTTGTATATATATATATATATATATATATATATGTATATATATATAAACAAAACAAAACAAAAAACACACAACAGGGAAAAAAAAACAAACCTGCCAGAAGAAATAAAATCTTACTAGACAGGAGAGGAAAGGCACAGCTTGTTGCTCTGTGTCCTCTTTGGGGCTTTAATTCTTTTCTAGGGCCCAAATAGGAAGAGGAGCAAGTTGCAGTATCCTGGTCTAAGTTCCAGAGTTAAGGTGCTTAAAATCTTTGCGAGAATTAACTAATTTTTTGTTTGGATCAAGGAATGCCAGTTGCTGCTAATGCAAGTAAGAAACAGGGAATGTAAGTAACACAGCATCTGGAATGTTAATTAGCCGTATATGTTATTGTTACATGGGGATTGAGATGTAGTGAAGTCAGTAGCTACATTACATTTTTATTTCTGTTAAGGTGACTTTTCTATTGTTCACAATATTTTTGCTCTCTAAAGTGTATTTATAGTAGTACTGAGTGGTAATGTTTAAGGGCTATGTGTGACCAAAATATGTGTAGTATAGAAGAGTTTGTTTGTAACATTGGAGTTAGTGTCCAAATAAAACAATGAATGATCATGCTGGAGCACATCACCTGCAGCTGAGGTAAAAGTCTCAGCATCCAAATATCAACAATGCTGAGTGCTTCTTGCATTTCTTAAGTGTGTTTGGTGGTTTGGGTTTTTTTGAGCTAAGGAAGCATATACATACTCATAAAGGTATAATGCTTGCAAAACTTGGTGGCATAAATTTAATCTTCCTTATAAGCATACTGGATATATTTACTTAGTTCTGTACTTCCAAGTAGCCCAAAGATATTTTTCAAGAGCAATGGGAAACATTTTTCTTAGTTTATACGCTTTTAAGTAGTACAGAGTTTGTGCCTTAATTTGCTAGTATGCTAATGCAAATGCAAATGTACTAAGATTTAAGGAAAGTTCCACAATCATTTGGAAAAATCCAAGATTAACTCAACTGCAGGTCCTTATGTATACATCACTAATGGAGGAATTAGTGTCTCCTCTCTTAGCATTCACAGCTTCTCTAGAGTGTTAATATTCTTCTATGAAAGAGATGAACTGATTCTTTGCTATGTGGCCTCTTGACAGCAAAGAAACACTGTTTTATTTTTATAAAATAATATACCATTTTATTTGTCTTAAATTAATCGGTCACTATCCTAACTATCACATAAAGATAAAAATTGTGCTCATATTTTATTTGGAGATAGTTAACATTTATAGTTCATATCACATTTCTGTTTAAATTTAAAGGCTTTTTAAAACATGGGTTTTCTACAGCAGCAAGAAAATTTATTATTTTTTTTTTAAGTAGACATCAGTTCAGTTCAAAAATAATAACTCTTTGGGAGACCACCAGAATGAGTTTATGGGTATAGAATAAATATAAACACAGGTACATGTCTCTTCAGTTATTTAAACTTTTTCTTGCCATTAATTTGGTGGTTTGTGGCAGAACTTGTTCATCATGTCTCACTTGTAATTACTGCAATTATATAATTTAGGAGGTGGAATCCATACCTATAGATACTGGGTTTAAGTTTTTGTAAACTTCTCACAGAGGAGTTCATAAACAAACCTGTCATACAATGAAATTTAGAAAGAAATCAATAACCAGCACTGCCGTATCTGTTTTCTGCGGACGTTTGGTAACTTAGTCTTGCATTATTCATAGGATAGCCAGATACTGGCCATTTGGTCATGTACTGTGTTTATCCTAGAGAATTTACTAAAAGGTTAAGACTCTGTGCAAGTGTAGTGTTTTAGGTAGGTTCTTTACACCAGCACTGTTCCAGCTAGGGTGACCCTAATGGAATCCTGACTTTTTTACACTGTTAAATGGGAGAAACTGAATACTGTTTAGAGTCAAGTAGAAATGACTCACCTATTAAGTAGCATGGAATTCAACAGGTTATCTGTTGTTTCCTCTCTTTTCATGGAATTGCATTTATTATATTAAGAAAGATTGTTTTGAGAGCAAAAAAATGTATTCTTAGTTTCTTTTCAATAGAAATTAAGCACACATGTTAGCTTCAGAGTTCAGTCATTAGTAAAATCATGAGGATTCCTAAGCATACTAATTTTATGGAAAGTAAGATAGTAAGATATGTCTTGTCTGAAAACAAACCTTTGCTTCAGCAAAGTGTGATCTTGTAGAGTCAGCATCCCATCAACACATTCTCTTTGAAACGTACATTTTCATTAGTTTTTAAGGAAACCAATGAACTACTTTTCTTTTAGCAGCTAGTTATATTGCATTTCTTCTTAATAAAAATCTGCCTTTCTGCAGAGTTTCCTGGTGTTTTCGTTGGAAGTTTATTGAAACATCCATCACCAGCAGGCTGTCAGTAAGAACTGCAGTGTGTAAAGTAAGCCTGATCTTTCTGATGAGAAACAAAAGACTATTTAGGAAAATAGGTTTTTCAGACTAAAGAACTTTTGCATCCATTTCTTTGACCATCAGTTGTTCTTACTCAAGTCATAGAATCATAGAATACTTAGGGTTGGAAAGGACCTCAAGATCATCAAGCTCCAACGCCCCTGCCATGGGCAGGGACACCTCGCTTTAAACCATATTACCGAAGGCCTCATCCAACCTGGCCTTAAACACTGCCAGGGATGAAGCATTCACAACCTCCCTGGGCAACCCATTCCAGTGCCTCACTACCATAACAGGAAAGAATTTCCACCTTATATCCAATCTAAACTTCCCCTGTTTAAGTTTTAACCCATTACCCCTTGTCCTATCACTACAGTCCCTAATGAAGAGTCCATCCTCAGCATCCCTATAGGCCCCCTTCAGATACTGGAAGGCTGCTATGAGGTCTCCATGCAGCCTTCTCTTCTCCAGGCTGAACAGCCCCAACTTTCTCAGCTAATCTTCATATGGGAGGTGCTCCAGTCCCCTGATCATTCTCGTGGCCCTCCTCTGTACTTGTTCCAACAGATCCATGTCCTTTTTATGTTGAGGACACCAGAACTGCACACAATACTCCAGGTGAGGTCTCACGAGAGCAGAATAAAGGGGCAGGATCACCTCCTTCGACCTGCTGGTCACACTCCTTTTGATGCAGCCCAGGATACGGTTGGCTTTCTGGGCTGTGAGCGCACACTGAAGCCAGCTCATGATAAGTTTCTCATCAACCAAAACCCCAAGTCCTTCTCCACAGGGCTGCTCTGAATCTCTTCTCTGCCCAGCCTGTAGTTGTGCCTGGGATTGCTCCAACCCAGGTGTAGGACCTTGCACTTGGCATGGTTAAACTTCATGAGGTTGGCATCAGCCCACCTCACAAGCGTGTCAAGGTCCCTCTGGATGGCATTCCTTCCCTCCAGCGTATCAACCGAACCACACAGCTTGGTGTCATCGGCAAACTTGCTGATGGCACACTCAATCCCACTGTCCATGTCAGCGATGAAGATGTTAAACAAGACCGGTCCCAACACTGATCCCTGAGGGACACCACTCGTAACTGGTCTCCAGACCTACAAGCACATCACTGAAATCTACTGCACATCACTAGAACTATGAAGCTATCTATTTGCTTTCTCTTATAACTATTATATTACCTTTTTTTTGCATCTGTTGCAAAGATATGAAAGAAAAAAAACACTTTCCTGAGTGCACTTGGATTTGCAACAATTCTGTGACTGAGCATGAGTTTGATATTAAAAGAAGAGTTCATGGATTATTTTTTTTTCCTGAAGGACAGAGGACTTGTGGTATTTTGGAAGCATTCTTGCTAGGCAAGTCAGGGTGTGTGGAGGGAAGAATATAGAGGGAAGGACACCCTTACTACCAAACAAGGTATATCTTTTTCCTTCTTAGACTCATTCATTTAATCCTTCACTGTCAGGATACAGGACTTTAGTTACTAATTAGAAAGTACAGGGCAGGTACAGTATTCCAGAAGTTCCAAACAACCATGAGTTTTTAAGAGTGATCTGGTAAGTTTGGAACATCAGCTCTATTAAAAATGCTTTCTTCTAGTTTCCTTCTGCAGATTTACTGTAAAAGAAGCAGTCCGTAAACAACCATCAATAACAAGAAAATCGCATCGCCTCAGAAACCTATCAAGCTTCTTCAAGAGTAACTTAAGAAATATTTTTTGTAATCTTGTACTGGAATCCCCACAGGATAGCTTTCCTGAAAAAAAAAAAAAAAACAAACAAAAAGACAAAAACAAGCACTTAAAAAGCTGTGAGAGCTCCAAATTGAAACAGAAGAGTACTGTCACTTGTCACATTCTGAACAGTCTTTCAAGTACTGCCACATCTTCTTTCCTGAAACTTACAATGCACCTGTGATTTCCACTGTAACATAATTTTCAGCCTTGCATATTAGTGTGTTATAAACGCCCAACTTAACTTTACTTTTAGACCACAAAAGGGAAGATTCTGTCATTGAAAACTATAGCAAGATCTGCCTGGCAGCAGCATTTTCCTTAACTTCCACATTCAGCTATCAGAATCGTGTTCATTATAATAAGCACCACACAGAACAGGAGCTGGAAGCTAGACATTGTGTTTAAATCAGCAGGTAGTCCTCAAAGTTTCACAGGTTTGACTCCAGAAGCCAACTTGGACTTTGTTCTCTGTCAAATAAGCAAAATAAATTTCTGTATTTCAGCCTTACCAATGAAACAGGAAGGTTCAGAGATATATTTACTTATTGCTTCAAGGGAATGCTGCCTCCACCAGTAACTACAAGTTACCCTTATGTTCCTGTTCCTCTTTAACATAAAATTCTAACTGGACTGTATGTCCAGGTGCAGAGCTTGGGTTTTAACTCTGATTTTCAGGAAGTTGTACATTATTAGCTGGTTTAGAACACAATTTTCTCAGCTATCATCTAGGTAGGACTTAAATAAGAATTTTCAGATGGTTTCATTTGGGGGTTTTTTCTTGTGTGATAAAGAACTAACTATATTGCTAGCTACATGCATTATTTTGCAGGTGTTTCAGATTATATCTGTGAGAGAGTAGTTCAT